TCGTTTTCAGCCTCCACCCATCTTCACCCAGATGCTCAAAATAAACAGCATTTTGCTACACATGAGGCTTCGTGTGTCTCTCTTTCTGCTCCAGACCTAACACTTACCTTTTAACAGTCCTTGTAATTTTTTTGTTGTTGAAAGCCAAAAATTATGTTAACAGATAATAAGAACTGAAGAAAATAGGTCTTTAGTGTGAAGTTTTATGCTAGTCTAGCTAGGAGTTGGGCTGTGTTTAATGTTTGCTCTAGCTGTAGGTGCCAGTGGCTTCAAGTTCCTTCCAGGTACCTGTTTTTGTCTCTTCTGTTGACTTTGGGCTTAGGGAAGCCTAAGAGAAGCTGCTCAGAGAGGATCTGCGTGTTGCAGCTGTTTCAGCTATAATTCGCTATTATTACATAGGAGCCTTATTGGTGTGGGGGTAAGGTAAAGGGGAGGGGAAACAATCTATAATTCTATGATTAAGTTTCAGTTGGGGGGTAAGTGTCCCAGTGCTGTGACCTTCACAAGAGTTTTTTAATTTCCCATCCCCGTTAGATAAGACAGGCTTGAGGGGGCTGCGTTGGGGTAAATGTTCTTCCTTCAGGTGGGATAACTCTGGTAAAGTATTTTTCCCTGAATAGTAGGCCTGTGGTATAGAGGAGAAATATACTGTCGGTGTATTTCACAGTGATTAATCTTCCCCTATGCATGCCAGAGGTGTTTTTTGGCTCTTGGCTCTTTACCTTAAGAACCCTTGATGAGGTTCCTGAAGGCAAAGTCCATAAAAATGTTGAGTGTCCTCATAATTGTGCCCCCAAGAGTTTCTCACTCTCATGTTAGTTCACACTCAGCCTCCAACAATTTGGTAAAATTACCACTTAAGTGTCCCCATCAGTTATGTCTCCAGGGCCTTCTGCTCCAGGTAAACAGATCTATTAATAGCTGTGGTTTTATGGATTCATTTCTCTCCAGATTTGGGGGTGGTAGTTTGCCCCATGACCTCAGTCCTCTGAGGGGTCCAAGAAAAGACATTAATTTTTCATTTGTTCAGCTTTTTCTTGTTGTAGGGGATAGGTAATGACTTCCAAGCTCTTTACCTGTCAGAGCTGAAACCCTACATTAGATTTTTAACAGTTAGCAGCCAACTGGAATTTTCTCTTTTCTACACCAACAATAGGAGATATTCAAACCATCTAACATAAATCTTCAGGCATGGGACCCATGAAGCTTCTCACATCTCATTGTTCCCAAGCTCAAAGTGTTTTCTCTGTCCTTTCTGCCTCTAGAGACTGCGTTAATTAATGTAATCCTTCTTTTTCCATTTCTAACTGATTGATGTCAAGGGAATCGATCTATTGTGTTGTCCACTCAATGCGGAACCTGTGGTGCCTTTTTTAAACATTCGAAATGTGTTTTTTCTTGTTCTGTTTTTACAGACCAACACTTCTTTCTCAGATCATTGGTAAATGATAGAATTTTTATTCACTTACCTTATTCCTTTCTGTGATTGTTTATTCCTCCTCTGTTGGCTATTTCTCAAACGCAAAATGCTTTTTTATGTCCCTCAGAGACCTAGAGCCCAGAGTTCACTAACATTCCAGGTGGGGAGCTGTGTGTGAATGACTATACCATAGAGCAGCTTATGATAATGAGAAACAAGATGATTTGGGAATTTTGTAGGAGAAGAGATGGGATTCTCCTGAAGTAACCAAGGCATCATTGGGAGCTGGCCCTCGGGTTTGATGTTGGGAGCTCCCTCAATCAGAGCCCAGGCAGGAAACAGAAACACTCAAGTGAGGCAATTGAGAAAACTCTAATGAAAGGACTACTGACAGAAGTGAGGAAGAGTCTTAAGAGTAGCCAACAAGGGATGGCAATGCATCCCAAATCTAGCAACAGCAAAACAATTGTTACCACAGCAAGACCTGAACAGGACAAGGGGAGGGCATGGTTACCAGAACCCAGAAAGAGCTGTGGGAGTTGCGCTTGTAGAAGATACCAGTGTGTCAGGAGCTGCAGATTTTGGTAGAAAACTGCAGCCACTGCTAACCTAAAGCCTGGCAGGGAAAGAACAGCAGAAATAAATGCTCAGAGGCCACTCCCTTTCGCTTTCTGATTTCCTGCTGGTATTTCCTGGTGGCTGAACCCCAATGGAAGTCAGAGGGCAAGCCCGCAGAGGTCAGCTTTCTGGGGAGTGAAGGAGCATGGGGAGGGTGAAAAGTGGATCTGAAGGAGCAAACGGAGGATACCCAGTCCAAAAGGATTCTGCCCTTCTGGAATCTGGGATGAAGGATCTGACAGGGCACTGGGACCCACAAATCCTTGATTTGAGGCAGGAGTTAGCCATGAAACATGTTGAAAACTGTTGCCATTTCTATTGCCACCAAGTTTTAACTCTGTCTACACAATCACCTGAACTGTCACCTCCAGGAAACGATCTCTGAATCAGGATAAATGGTTATTACATAATAGTTGCTATTTATTTTTTAAAAGATTTCAGTGGAGGAAAAGTGAAACTGACAGCAAAGACTCACTTTTCTCTCTCACAGCCTTCTAGCAGCAGGAGGAGGAAACCGTCGAACTGCCAATGTGGTGGCCCATGGATTTGCAAATCTTTTAACTCTGGACAAAAAGACTCTCCAAGAAATTCTAAGTCATTATCCAGATTCTGAAAAGGTCCTCATGAAGAAAGCCAGGTACAACCTTTAAAAATCCATTAGAGAGGGACAGAGTTGATTTTACCTTGTACCATCTAAGATGAGGGGAACTGTATTATAATTGTGATCAACTTTCTTCATGACACGCGCTTAATAAACAACTGTTAATGCAGGTACCCATTGGAACTTCACAGGTTAGGAGGAATCATGGTTATTCTGGTAGATTTTGCCAGAACTCTCACAGAGCTACCTAAAACAGCTTTTCTCTCCTGTCCAGAGTGCTTTTAAAGCAGAAGGCTAAGGGCGCAGAGGCAACCCCTCCAAGGAAAGAACTTGCCTTTCTCTTCCCACCGAAAGAAGAGACACCCAAATTGTTTAAAACTCTCCTGAGTGGTGCAGGAAAAGCAAGTCTTGCAAGACTACTCAATTTGAAGAGCGAACAAACAGCTCAGGTAATAAGGCAGAGTGAATGGAGGGCTGCAACAGAGACAGCCCTGGACTAACTGTACGCACACAAGCTCCTACTCTAATTCTGTTTCAGACACTAGGAAAATTAGGACTAATCTAATGCTAATAATGACTGCATTATATATAGCACTTATTATTATTTAAACTGAATCCCCATATAGCATCACATTTAATCCTCACATGTTTATTATAGATGGCTTTAATATATATGTATTTATAAATACAGTCAGCCCTCATTATTCACAGATTTTGTATTTCAGAATCTACCTACTCACTATAATTTTTTTGTAATCTAAAAATCCATACTCATGCTGCTTTTGTGGTCATTCAGGGACAAGTGCACGTGCAGAGCAGCAAAAAATTTAAGTTACTGAGGCACGTAGTCCCAGCTAAAGTTGAACAAGGAGGCACTCTACTTTCTTGTTTCAGCTCTCATACTACTATAAACAAGTGACACTTTTACAGTCTGTTTGGTGCCATGATGTTAGATCCAGAGCCGAAAGGGAGACACACGAAGCCTCGGGTGTAGCAAAATGCCCTTTATTTGAGCATCTGAGTGGAGATGGGTGGAGGCCAGAAAAGGCATCCACCACAAGGGAGGGGAAAGCCTTGGGTTTTATAGAGGGTTTTTGGGGGGAATGAGCAACATCTGTAGAGACAGGGGAGGAGGATAGCTTCCTCCTTATTGGGGGAATGGATTTACAACCTCCAGGGACTCTGTAGACTCCTGTGGCTATTGTTTTACAAACCTAAGTTTTCCATTAACCAAATTCTGTCCTATACATACTTCCAGTTCCCACCTGGAACAACCTAACAATGGGTTTCACACTTTTGTGACTCTTTCTTTTTTTGTTTTTGGTGATTTTGCTATTTCAAATGGCCCCCAAGCATAGTACTGAAGTACTGTCTAGTGTTTTTATGTAAAAAAATGCTTAATGTGACTTAGAGAGAAAATATGTGTGTTAGATTAGCTTTATTCAGGCATTAGTTATAGTGCTGTTGTCCATGAGTTTAATGTGATGAATCAGTAATTCATCAAATTAGATAAGATGTCTCTTAAAAAAAAGACACCTTATTTAAGTGTCTTGGGGTCAATGAAACAAAGTTATGTATTGACCAGTTGACAAAAATGTTGTGGTCTCAAGGCTCACAGGAACCTAGCCTTGTATTTCCCCTAGGACCAATGGTTCAGTATTCGCTAATTCAGAGTTTATTCCAACTTTATAGAACAAAACTACCATAAGTAATGAGAATCGACTGTATATGTATGGACATACATATACACATATAAGTATATAACTCATTTTACCAACAAGCTAGTAAACATTTTCACAAATATTTAATTAATATGTATCACAGAAATAACCTTGTAAATTTCATCCAAGCTCTTCATGTTAGAGATGAAGAAACTGAGACCCAGATCAAGGAATTTGGATAAGATCACACTTAGTTACAGAACAAAAAACTATTACTCAGGTGTTCGGATTTACAGGCCTATACCAAGCTGCCTTCCGATTTCTAGCAATGTAAAGAAACTCAAATGTTATTGTTTTTTCTCCTTTTTTGGTTTCCAGATTTCTGTGATTCTCGTAAGTCTATAAGAACAGATACCAAGAAACAGACAGAATGGGATTCAGGTTTTCTGTATATAGTCACCATGCTACCTCTAAAACTGTAAGGAATGGGTCGCTGCGGACCTCTCAGGAGATGAGTAAAGCAAACATTATAACCTCAGTCACATTCAAGAGATTAAAAACTTTCCTCTTCCTTTTTCAAATACACAATACTGTGGTGAAAATCAGGGATATAGTGTAAACCAAATGCCTCATTTACATTAGCATAGAAATAGTAATTTGCATAAAAGATGCATGAAGGTAAAGAAATATATAAGTAAATATGTTAAGTTAAATTCTCAACTTTCTCTCTGCATATTCATATCTCAGGCAAACCTCTCTCAAATTCATCCCAAGTATTACCAGTAAAGAGCACAGTGCATTTTTTACTATGAAATTTCTTATATTTATTTTATTGATTAATTTTTTTGAGATGAGGTCTTGCTATGTTGCCCAGGCTGGCCTCGAACTCCTGGGCTCAACTGATCCTCCCCCGTCAGCCTCCTGAGTAGCTGGTACTACAGGCAGGAGCCACCATGCCTTATACAATTTCTATAAATAATACTAAACACAGTAGGTTCAAAAATGACAGCTCAACACCTGTGGGACAAATCAAGAAAATTGCACTAGGAAAGAGGTGAGTTTCTCCCTGAGGTTCTCCCATGAGCTTATGCAGGAGGAAAACCATACTCTCTATAGTACTTTTATATGCTGTTTGGTTAATACATTTTTATTAAAAACAAATATTTAAAAATTTACCTCCATAAAATAAATAAGTAAATATTTTAAAAACACTGAGCACTAAGTCTGATAATTCAGAGAGTATGAAGAACAACAGGAAGAGAATTCCTTGGCCAGGACAATAAAATGCCATCTGGACTAATACTGTAACTCGAATGTAACAGCTGCATTCTCCAGCACACCAGAAAACTTAGTCAAATGATAGTCAGAAGCAAGGCAAACATGATTCCCTATTCACTTAATTTGGACTGTCTTTGTCTTGATGGCGATCTTAGCCATTGCATGCTAATCAAAAGACTCCAATGTTTTTAATTATTATTTTAATACCAATTCTTTGTAACTGCTTCTTCCAGGAAAAAAAGGAAAATACTGAAGGAGGAGAGGGTAAAGGAAAAGAATATGAAGATAAAAAAAGAGAGCCTGCAGAAGAACCACCAGATAGATCCAAAGGTACAGCGAGTTCTATTACAATGGAGGAAAAGCCCCTGTCTATTAAAAGGGCAGTTTTACCCAGAGGAACTACCCGTCAATCACTCATCATCAGCATGGCTCCTTCTGCTGAGACTGGAGAAGAGGTTCTGACTATTGAAGTCAAAGAAAAGGCTAAGCAATAAATGTTTGATTATCTTTAGATGTAATCTAGCTAGTTCCCAAAGAGATTGTACCCAGCATTGTAGCTTAAATTAATGAGGGGAACCGACCTTGCTGGGACCCTTGAGAATCATAAGCAAATCCCTAGCTTAGTTTCTAGGACTTATCTGAAAGTGTGATTTCATGCAGTGGTAATAAGAAGATTATTAAAAACCATCCCTATTCTCCATTGTCATTAACTTTGTGCAATTGCTATTTCTTCTAATTGTATGTAGTAGGATTTTTTTTCCGTCGGTTCTTTCCTGATGATGTTCCTTCCTTCCATCTTGATTAGCTTGGTCTTGGCTCTGATGTGATTCACTGTACTTTTCTCTTAAATTTTTATCGTGTGTGATTTCTTGTATGACACTGTTAAGCCTGGCCAAATGTTCTAGGTTTGTGAATCTTACCTCTTATGTATAGGGAGTATGAGATTTTAATAATATAGGTCAAACATCAGGTGATGTCCATTCAAATGAGGGTGATGAGTCACTATAACATCAAATCAACCCAGTGGCTGTGACTGAAGGGAAGCAGAGACCATGGAGCCTTCTGAATGAGAAATCTGATTTTCAGAACAGTCCCCTGAAGAGCAATGTTAGTCAGCAGGACTAGCAAACCGACTGGCAAAATCACATAGCAGCAACATGCTGGAAAAATTGTACCCTTTGCTAAGGAAACAAACTTTAATATTTTTCTATATACCAACTTAAAAGCAACAATCTACCTAACTCATCTGGCTCAAAAGACTCAGACCAGAGGAATCAGATCGTCCCCATCTTCCTAGAGCCTAAAGTGACATTTCTCATAATCTTCCACAAGCACTTGCTTCAAAACGTACGAGAGATTGGAGGTTCTCATCGTTTTAAGCTTTAGTAAAAATGGGATGAGGTTAGGAAGACAGACTGTACACATGTCAGATTGACATATCCCCACAATTTGTGGAACCTACATGTACAGCTGTTTACAAAATCTCCAAGTTAATTAAGTGCACTTTAGGAAGTTGTCTTCATAAATCAGCTAGCATTAGCATAATTACCAAAGTTGCATGCTGTGAGGAGGCTAAAAAGGCCAGGCTGATGTTGGAAGTAATAATACATATAGAATTCCATTCTAATAAATGCCATTAGTGTATAACATCAAGTTCTGTATAATAAGGCTATTTCCAAGTCCCAGAAGATGGTCATTGTAACAGCACTTTGCTGAGAGAGTTTTAACAAATTACGTTAGCCAAAAAGCCTGCAACACAGATGCATTCAGCAAACCATGTACAAATCAATCACTATAGCAAAACGTATAATTTGGTAGAGTTGCCATTTATGAATATGGTGCTTGAGTGTCACAAAATATGACAAGCTTTACAAAAGGTTGGGTGGGGTTTTTTTTCAGAATTTAAGGAAATATGGACAAATTGCAAATAGCATTATTTGATAAATGGAAGTTTGTGTGCCGAAAGACTGATTTTGTGTATTAAAAGAGTTAGTAAAAAATTCAGAAAGAAAAGGTGGAAATAGAGCCTGAAAATATTCTGATAATTGTGGGGGAAAAAAAAAAGGAAAATAAAAAGACTGAACTTGTGAGTAATATGCCTCCCCTTATACCCTGTAATTGACTCAAGTGAAATTAAAATATAACATCATTGCAATTTATGCTCTTCCCCTGGCACTTATTTCTCCTCTCAAACTATCCTATTTCAGACAATATCCTCTTATTTCCAATCTATCAGACTAAAGTCTAAGAATAATCAATAACTCTTTTTTTGCTTATATAGTGCCACCAAATGCTTTTTCGTTTTTAATCTTTCTAATTATCCTTTCTTTTTCAATCCCAATGCTAACACCCGGTACACATTTTCTGTTCAATCCAAATAAACATTCACTTTTCACCTACAGTCTGCTCTCATCTCTGGTCTGCCTTCTTAAGTCCCTTTGCCATAGGAAAATCAGATCTTTTTAAAACACCACTTTTGACCACGTTACTTCCCTGATCAGAGACTACATTAGGGTTCTCCAGAGAAACAAAACCAATAGAATATATATATATATATATATATTTATTTCTATATGTAAACACATTAAAGAGATTATATATTTTAATATTATATATCATATAGAGATATTTATTATATATAAAGAGATTTATTATAAGACATTGACTCACATGATTATGAAGACTGACAAGTCCCATGATCTGCAGTCTGCAAGCTGGAGACCCAGGAGAGCTGTTGGTGTAGTTCCAGTCTGAGTCCTAAGGCCGGGGAACCAGCAGAGCTGATGGTGTAGGTTCCAATCTGAGGCAAGAGAAGACTAATACCCCAGTAACAGCAATCGGGCAGAGAGAGCAAATTCTCCCTCCTCCACCTTTTTCTTCTATTCACGTCCTCAACAAATTGGATGATGTTCACCAACGTTGGGACGGCCATCTGCTTTCTCAGTCCACCAATTCAAATGCTGATTGCTCTACAAACACCCTCACAGACTGGGCACCCAGTGACCTCGTCAACTTGACACATAAAATTAACCACCACAGATTTTTTTGGGGGGGTAGGCAAGATGGCAGACTGGAAGCAGCCCGCACAACGCTGCTCTCGCACAGAGAATAGAAAGTGGTGAATAAAATACCCACCTTTGGATCGATGGTCTCAGCGAGGACACTGAGAATCCCCAGAGAGGAGGTGGGAGAGAAGTAAAGAAGAGAGAAATGGAGCAAACTACTCAGCAGGACCGGAGGTAATCAGGGAAGGCGCCCACACATGGGAAAGGGACAGAGGAGAGAACCGCAGGCTCCGTGCTTCCCCTGAGGATACTGCAACTAGAACGGCAGGGGGCACCTGCACTGCAGCAGGCCTCCAGACTGATACAAAGACCGGACTGGAGGCTGTGCAGCTGCATTGCTCTGGAGAGAAGAGACAGCTGGCTTGTGAACCCTGGCAACGGGGCCGGGGCCAATGGTGCAACCCAAACCCAAAAAGCCTCCTCCGGCCAAGGAACAAAACCGGGAACGCCGCCCCCCCTTGCTACTGCCCTGCTCCGCATGCGTACCCTGGCCTGTGCCTGTGAGTGCAGCATCTGGCAGACCTGGTCTATCCTGTGCAGTCACTTCGTCCTGTGAGCCTGCTCTGTCCCGGGGTCCTGCATGCCCCACACATGAGCTGCGACCCACAGGCCCACTCCATCCTGCATATGTGTGGCAACTCATAGGCTTACTCCACACCAGGGACCAGTTCCACTCCACAGGCCTGCTATGCCCCGTGGGCCTGCTTCACCTCTCAGGCCCGCTACACCCTGCACATGCACCACATCCTGTGCATGCCTCACCCCATTCACACACCTGCCACCTCGACGGCCCAGGCATGCACACGTGTGTGTCATGCCCAGTGGATCTCCTCTATCCCATATGCACACCCTGTCCTGCAGGCCACCCCCACCTCGTGTGTGCACCTTGCACCAGGGGCTGGCCCTGCCACAGCAGCCCAGTGACAACCACAGAAAACAGGGGAGACACAGCAGAGCAGCAGTGTTAAAGACTCACAGCGCATCCACCCCTCTCCTGTCTCGTAAAGCTTCCAGAGTAGGACTCAAACACACCATCCAAGGACCCATCCCTATCTTCACTGAGCAACAGAGGTCCTAGCAGAGGAGAACAAGTGTGCCATTCTGCTATCTGTTTGGGGCTGAGAGAAGAGGCCCCAGATAAGAAGGAACCAGTGTAGAAACTTTGGCAACATGAAAAAACAGGCTGCTTTGATACCCTCCAAAGGATCACATTAGCTCTTTAGCAATGGATTCCAACCAAAAGAAATTGTTGAAATGACAGATATGGAATTCAGATTATGGATGGCAAGTAAGATGAATGGAATTGAGGAGATTGTAGAAAACCACTTCAAAGAAACCATAAAAATAATTCAGGACATGAATGAAAAATTATTAATAAAGAGATAGGTAACATTAGAAAAGAGATAACAGAACTTATAGAAATGAAAGATCATTTAGGGAATTTCAAAATACAGCATAAATAGCAACAGGCCAGACCAAACAGAAGAAAGAATTTCAGAGCTTGCAGACAAGGATTTTGAAGTAACCCAGTCACTAAAAAAATGTAGAAAAACGAACAATCACTGTGAGAAATATAGGATTATGTAAAACAAGTTAATATAAGAATTATAGATACCCTTGAGGGAGAAGAAGAAAAAGCAATAAGCATGGAAAACCTATTTCAGAGAATAACAGAGGAAAACTTCCCTGGTATTATTAGACATTTAGATGTCCAGGAACAAGATGGTCATTGAACATCTGGGATATTTAGAGCAGATAGAAAATCATGAAGACACATAGTTATCAGCCTGACCAAAGTCAAAGTGAAGGAGAAAATCCTACAAGCTCTGAGATGAAAGCAAGAGATTACTTAAAAAGAAAAACCCATCAGACTAACAGCAGACCTCTCAGCAGAGACCTGTCAAGCCAGCAGGGATTGGGGTCTCATTTGTAGTCTTCTTAAACAGAATACCTTTCAGCCACAGCCAAGAATTTTGTATCCTGCAAAACCAAGTTTCTTAAATGAAAGAGAAGTCAAGTCTTTCCCAGACAATCAAACAAGCAAATATTTCCTGCCCTAAAGGAAATGCTTAAAAGTGTTCCATATATAGAACGGAACGATCAATACCCACCAGTGTAAAAACATCTGAAAGGTAAAGCTCACAACTCTTATAAAACAGTAACACAAGGGAGAAAACAAAGCAAGTAGGTATCACTCAACATGATTAACAGAACAGTACCTCACATAACAATACTAACATTGAACATAAACAGTCTTAATGCTCCATTTAAGAGATATGGACAGGCTGAACGAATGAAAAAACACACACCAAGTATATGTTGTCTCCAAGAAACCTATCTAACTCACAAAGATTCTCATAAATTCAAGGTAAAGGAATGAAAAAAAATATTCCATGCAAATGGAAACCAAAAGCAAGCAGAAACACCTATTCTCATATCAGA